GTCTTAACCACTGGACCAGCAGGGAAGTCCCCAAATGTCTGGATTCTTTCACTTAATATTTATTTTGTTTTCTGTTACTGTAAAATTCACCCTTTTAAAGTGTACAATCAAAAAAAAGTGTACAATCCAACGTACAGAGTGTACAGTGTATGTTTGCAAAGACCGTGATGTTTTTAATATTTATCCATCATACTGTGGCTATCAATCATTCATTCCTTTTTATTTCTAGTGGTATTCCATGGTATGAATGGACCACAGTTTCTTTCCTCATTCATTTGTTGTTGGACATTTGGGCTGTTTCCAGTTTGGAGCTGTTATATATAAAGATAACTTTTTGACCACACCTTGCCGAATGTGGGGACTTAGTTCCTAGACCAGGGATCAAGCCCACACCCCCTGCATTGGAAGCGTGGAGTCTTAACCACTGAACCACCAGGGAAGTCCCGTTCATATCTTTTTGTGCCCCCCCCCCAAAAAAAAAAATGTTTCCTTGGACTTCCCTGGTGGTGCAATGGATAAGAATTCACTTGCCAGTGCAGGGGACACGGGTTCAATCTCTGGTCTGGGAAGATTCCGCATGCCAAACAGCAACTGTGCCTTAACTACTGAGCCCATGCTCTAGAGCCCACGAGCCACAGTTACTGAAGCCTGCACGCTCTAAGACCCGCAAGACACAACTAATGGTCTATTAATCAGTAGCTCCTGTGCTGCAGTTCCTGAAGCCTGCACATCTAGAGCCTGTGCTCGGAAACAAGAGAAACCACCGCAATGAGAAGCCTGCACACAGCAACTGGAGAGGAGCCCCCACTTGCTGCAACTAGTGAAAGTCTGTGTGCAGCAATGAAGACCCAGTGCAGCCAAAAATTCAATATTAACAATGTGTACATGTCAAAAAAATTTTTAATGTTTCATTGATTGTTCTGAGGACTGCTTAGTCATGACATCGGTGCCTGTTCAACCCAATGGATCTGATCTGAGATGACTTTTTTCTGTCTTCGGGGGGTGAGGGTGGACATTAGCAATGTCTGGAGGCATTTTTGGTTTGGAGACATTGAGGCAGGGTGTTACTAGCATCGAGAGGCCAAGAATGCGCCTAAACATCCTACAAGGCACGGGATGGCTCCCACTGCAAAGAAGGATCCGGCTCAGATGTCATGATTGTCGGGGTTGAGGTTGCCTAGTTAACCTTATTACAAACCGCCAGATCATTTTCTGAAGTGGTCTTCTCATTTCTGGTTCCTCCACAGCCTCTCCTCCAACCTTGGTACTGTGAGTCTTTTCCTTTTTAGCCATTTGGGTGGGTGTTTAAAAATCTTTTCTATCTTAAAATAATTCTGAAATGAATCAGGCCAATATGACAAATGTGAACATTTTTTCATCTTGGGTGGTGGATGTACTTTAGCTGACTCTAATCTTTTCTGGATTTAAAGTTTGTGGGATTTTTTTGTTTCTTGTGGCTTTCTTGTTGCTTGTTGCTTGCAGCTCCCCCTGGCTGCATAGATGATGAATGCCCTGTTTGTTTTCGTTCCCCTTTGTTTTCTGAGACTTCTTTACTGGACTCAACTGGCTCCAGTCTCCTCCTTCTCCAGCATTGTCTCAGATAATCTAATACCTCCAAGGTTACCTCTCACCTGCTTTCCTGGAGCTCTTCTTCTTTCCCCAGGAACTGGTTTTCTCCAGGCTTCCAACTTACCTGGCTTTGGCTTCTATCTCCACCTATAGAAGTTCTGTTGTTCCATCGCTAAGTTGTGCCCAACTCTTTGTGAGAGAGAGGTTTTGGCTAAGTCTAATAAAGAGACTTATTCAAGCCTGGCTTTGGCTTGAATTCCTGCCAGCAGTGTGACATTGGGACCAAGATTAACTCTATCTGGAACTCAGGTCAACCACATGACAATAGATATGAACAATGGATGTGCTAATACACGCAAATTAAATATAAATATGTTTTATGTGTTTTTTACGTGCAATTTTTAAAAAATCAAAAGTAATGCAAAAAAAAAAAATCCAAATAAAGACAGGCTTCCCTGCTGGCTCAGTGGTAAAGTATCTACCTTTCATTGCAGGAGACACAGGTTCAATCCCTAATCTGCGAAGATCCTGCATAGCAACTAAGCCTGAGTGCCATGACTATTGAGCCTGTGCTCTGGAGCCCCAGAGCCATGACTACTGAGCCCACATGCTGCAACTACTGAAGCCTGCGAGCTCTAGAGCCTGTGCTCCGAAGCAAGAGAAGCCAACGAAACGAGAAGCCCTCTCATCACTACCAGAGAGTAGTCCCCACTTGCCACAACTACGTTGCCCACACTGCAATGCAGACCCAGCACAGTCAATAATAAATAAATAAATAAAATTATTATTATTATTTTTTTAAAAAGACAGGATCAGTAGTTCTGAACGTTTCCTTTTGCCTCAGGTGCCAATATGGCTTGACGTAGCACTGTTACTGACCCTGTCTTTACTTAAAATTTTGACATTTTGCTCATCAGATATTTTAGCGAGATTTTAAACATTAATTTTGATTTTAAAGTAGTGCATTCAAATATTATTTATCTTGATGACTCAGTTTTTTAAGATTAAGAAAAGTATTTTTTATTTCTGGCTCTGCTGGGTCTTCGCTGCTATGAGTGGGCTTTCTCTAGTTGCGGAGAGCAGGGCTACTCTTCGTTGTGCGTGTTTCTCATTGCAGCGGCTTCTCGTTGTGGAGCACAGGCTCCAGTAGTTACAGCACTCGGCCTCAGTAGTTGTGGCTCTTGGGCTTAGTTGCTCCACTGCATGTGGAATCTTCCCAGACCAGGGAACCCATGTTCCCTACATTGCAAGCCAGAGTCTTAACCACTGAACTGCCAGGGAAGTCTCACGAGTTTTTTGCTTTTTTGCTGTGCTCGGTGTTTGGTGCCCCCTTAAAATTTGCATGCCGCACCTTCACTCGGGCCCCGCTTTCCCACTTCCGGGTATACAGGAAGTGCTCTATAAGTGTTCTGATGTAATTACTTATGATGTAATTATCACATATAGTATCAACCTTATGTCATGTAAAGCCTCCCTCTGGATTGACTGGATTCTCTTCATTGGGCTTTTTGACTGAAGTTATACCTGTGATGACTTTAGTGCTGAGTTTGTCTCAGACACGGACCCTTTGATAGCTTTATACTAAGTGAAAACGAAATGCCTGAACCTCTTTGGAAAATTGTGGAGAAAGATTTAATTGTGTTAAGGGCTTAGGGAGACTGGAAAGCTGGAGCAGGCTTACGGAGTTTGCCCTACTTACTTTCCTTCCTCTTTCCCACCCCCCAAATCTCCCATAGCTGAGAAAAGACTGACAGTACCAGGTATGGCAAGAATTGAGAGTCACTGGAACTTTCACAGGGTGCTAGTGAGAATGTAGAAAACTGTCAGGATCTACTAAAGCCTAATACTCACATGACCTTCCACTCACCATTTCACTCCTAGGTATTTGCCCTAGAGAAGTAAATTCGTTTTCACAAAAATACTTGTATACGATTTATTAATAATGGCCGAATACTCGGGGGAAAATGTCTATCTATAGGTGAATGGAGAAACTCTATTGGCTACATTGTGGTACAGCCACACAGTGGGATACTACTCAGGAGTAAAAAAAGAAGGAATATTGCTATGTACAGCAATGTGGAAAATCTCAAAACATTTTGTTGAGCAGAAGCCAGACACAAAAGACAATCTACTGCATGATTCTGTTTACATGAAATTCAAGAACAGACAAGATTATAGTGATAGAAATAAACATAGTGGCTGCCTGGTTGGGGCAGGAGGGAGGAAGGGGGTGTGGCTGACTTGAAAGGGACACAACAGAACTTTCTGTGGTGATGGAAATGTTCTATAACTTCACCAGGTAATTGTCACTCGGGTATCAATCATCAGAACTCATGGGACCGCTCAACTCAGTAAAGCACTGGCAGGATAAAAAGGCTGGGAAATTTTCATACAAAAGAAAAGTAAAAGTAATAACAACAAAAAAGTTTTATGACGAAAACATCCTGGTTTTGGTTTTTTCGGCCTGAACCTGCATGGCCATTCGCACAGTGTCTGACCAGGACACGACTTTCAGCAAACAGGAATTGTGGCTTAGGACCATTTCTCTGACTCCCATGCCCTGAGGGGCCCCTTCTCTACTGAGGATGCAAAATGTCTCTCCACGGTGGTGTTATTCCAAGCTCCCTAGCCTTCTCAGAACCCTTTCAGAACCTCTACGCTGCAGGACCACTTCGAAAACTTCTTCCCTCAGCGTAGAGGTCTTATTTCATAAGAGCCAGACACTCACTCAGGGCCCACATCACGGCTTCGGTTGCCCGGACTAAATATGGTGGCACACGAGCCGGTCACACCCTCTACCACGTGACGGTACCGTACGCTCGCAGACGCCCGCCTGGGTCAGCCCACTCCGGCGCCTACTTTTAGATTGACCAATGAATCGGAGGCATGAAGCACGCCCTTTTCCCCTCTCCACCAATAGCCTCCAGACACCTCCCGCAGAAGCCAATCATCGCTCCCGCCTCTCTTGAAAGAAAAGCAAGCGGCCCAGTGAGCTGAGCCGCACTCGGACGTATGAGACAGGAAGCGCAACAGCTCGTGTCGGGGCGCGAGAACGGTAACTAGAGTCGGGCGGCTTTCTTCGCAGCACGCGGAGGCGAACAAGGAATCAGGTGAGCGGATGGCCCAGGCGCGGGGCCGCGGTGCGGAGACGTCGGATCTGCGGGCTAGCGGGAGATAGGAGACGCCAGGGGTTGAGGGAAGGAGACCGAGCGCGAGACAAGGGGAGGCGGGGCGGTTGGGCTGTCCGGAGCGCGTTGGCGGCCGTTGGGCGTTAGGGCGCATGTGCGGGGGGAGGGCCGGCCGTTGGCGCGCGGGTACGGGCCCGCTTCCGGGAGGGGTTGTCATGGCCGCCTGCAGGCTGAACCCCACCTTGGGGCAAACTCTGCCTGTTCTTGGAAGCCCGAGGCGATTTGGGGAGGGGTCAGGAGGCGACGCGGGGGTCTGGGGCCGCGGTGCGCGAAGCCGGAGCTTGTAGACGTGACGATCTTCAAGATCGAAAGACTCTTCCTCCGTTCTTGCTTTGCGTTTCGGGGGGGGTGGATTCGTAGTTCCAGAGATTTAGGGCAAAAAGTGATGTTCCAGTAAGGAACAAAGTCTTAGATGAAAATCTTTTGGGGGGCACTTCAGGGTGAAAAGGGTACGCTAAAGGGTCTGAGTTGTTACTTGGTCGTCTGTCAGCTTTCAAGTTGATCAGCTCTTGGGGCCTCTGCCACCTTCTCTGGGTGGAGCAAACAGTGCCAAATCTTTTCCTGATGTAATTTGTTTTGATTTTTAGGTTCTGTCTAGCCAGTCCCTAGAAATTGTGTGTCTCAAACTTAGTGTGTCACTAAAACTCCCCATTAAAACAAAAAGAGTTTCTTCGAACTCACTTTTTGGAATGCACATCTCTTTTCGTATTTGAAGCCCAGAGTAGATGACGCTGGCTCTTTTATGTCCAAGGCTCCCCCAGGGGTTGGTCCCTCCCTGTAGGGTGATCCACCTTCTTTTCCCTCTTTGACAATGCTCCCACCGTGGTTAACCCTCTCATTTGGTGTCTGGTTTTCCCTGCTGCTGGTCCCTTACCTCACTCCATCTTCTCTGGAGTAACTTGGTCTTGAGCAAATCCTGATTGAGTCACAACTAAAAACCTAATCAGCTATTTCTTATTCAGCGAATTAAGTATGAATACTCTGGGCCTAACCAGCTTGGTTTTCTGCCTCTTGCTTCAAGCAGCCAGTTCTTTCCAACCCTTGAAAGGATCTCGTGGTTTCTGGACTGCCCTTTGCTGACGCCTCTTCTTTTCTTTGATGTTTGAAGCGAGCCTTCCTGTTTTCACCAGTAGGAATCCTCAGTACTTGTATCAGATTGCCTCTTTCAAGAATCCTATGAGGATACTTGCTTAGCCCCTAAACTCTGCCGTGAGGCCCCGATTCTAATTACATTTATTCAGCCATTTGCTCTTCTTGAGTGCTTACCTGTTATGAACCAGGTCCTGTCCTGGGTGCTGGGCTGGCATGACTGGAGGGGGTGTTTTTTTAGTTGGATCCAACCTTGGAATATGCCTTTTTGGAACAACAGAACAGCTTCCCAGATGTTCAGTGGGTAAAGAATCTGCCTGCAATGCAGGAGACAGAGATGGGGGTTTGATTCATGGGTCAGGAACATCCCCTGGAGTAGAAAATGGCAACCCACTCCAGTATTTCTGCCTGAAAAATCCCATGGACAGAGGAGCCTGGTGGGCTACAGTCCGTGGTGTCAATAACCGTTGGAATGACAAAGTGACAAAACACCATGGAAAATGCCTTTTTGAAAGAACAGAGGTCTGAAAAAAGTGGGAAAAGCAAGTTGAAAGGTGCTGAGGCATGTTTGAGGCTCAGCAGCAAGGCCTATGTGTGAGGGTGACAGGGGTGACAAACAGTATAGAGGGAGTCAGGTTGTGCCGGGCCTGATAGTCTGTGGTGAGGAGGACTCTGTTTTGCTTTGAACACAGGGGGATCCTGTGGAGGGTGTTGAGCAGAGGAGTGGCTTTCTCTGACTTAGCTTTTTTAGGCTCCCTCCAGCAGCTGAGGGGCCTTGAAGGGGGAGTGGGAGATGGAAAGCAAGGAGCCCAACAAGGCGACTTTTGGCATAATCCAGGCACGAGGTCATGGTGCCCAAGTGCCTATCAGCTGACAATGGATAAAACGAACTGTAGTATTCCAGTAAAAAGGAATATTCATTGGCCACGAAAAGAAATGGTGTACTGATACATGGCCACAATGTAGAGGAACCTTGAAAAATTAGGTGAGTGAAAGAAGTCAGACTGTCACATGTTGTATGATTCCATTATATGAAATGTTCCAAATAGGTAGATTCATAAAAAGAAAGTAGATTAATGGTTGCCAAAGGGAGTTGGGGGGCACAGGATGGTAGCCTGAGGGTGCAGTCTTTGACATGAGGAAATGTGTGCTAAAGATGATTGTGGCAGCAATTGAAAGTATTTGTGACTGCACAAGAAACCAGTAAAATGTGCGTTTTAAACTGCCTTGTATGGCATGTGAATGTCTCCATAAAGCTGCTCTAATCTAAAAAGAAAGGTGATGACAGCCTGAGAACCAGTGACGTAGCAGGGGTGAGAAGTGGCCTGATTGAGCTGCTTGGATTTATTGGCTGGTGGGACAGGAAGAGAGAAAAGACAGAACAGTTTAGAGAATGGAGTTGCCTTTTCTGAGATGTGGGGGGGTGGAGGGGAGAGGTTGTCCATGGAGAGGCCGCATGGAGGTGGTTAAGGCCCTGGGGCTGCATGGTCACAGAGGATGAGTGGCAAAAGGGCCACAAATTGGGCCTGGAACCCTCAAAATCCATCTTGGGAAGAGGGACTATTTTTAGCACTTCCACCCGCTACACTGGTCTTCCCTGGTGGCTGGATGGTAAAGAACCCGCCTCCCAATGCAGGAGACGCGGGTTCAATCCCTGGGTCAGGAAGATCCCCTGGAGGAAGGCATGGCAACCCACTCTGGTATTCTTGCTTGGGAAATCCCGTGGACAGAGGAGCCTGGTGGGCTGCAGTCCGTGTGGTCACAAAGAGACACGACTTAGCAACTAACATGACAGCAACAACCACCCCTTGACTGGAGGCTGGGGTGCAGCAGGGAGGACAAAAGACAGTATTCTCATGGTCCCTGTAGCCTGCACCCACTAGGTGCTCTGTGTGGCTGAATTAAATGAAGCCAGGAAGTGATTGCACTTTGTATTAATTCTTTTTACCATCTTGGCTGTATTCTTACTGGCTCCAGGCCCAATGGGAGGTCTTTTCATGAGAGCACTTAATTATTCCCTTGTGCAAACCACAAATAGCAGGAGCAGCTGGGGCTGGGTAGACATTGGCGAGCTCACAAGCTCCCATCTCTCCAGCATCCTGGCAGTTGCATCTCCAGGCTCAGGGTAGGGTCCTTGGGGAGTGACAGTGGAGGGGAGTCCTTGAGACCAGGTGGTCTGAGGCTATTCAGTAGAGCTGAGACCTTGATGCTGAGAAGGAGGCATTTGTTTGTTCAGAGACCAGAAGCAATGCAGCAGAGTTGTGCCTGTGGGGCTGGGCGACCTGAGCTGGGGTAGAGGCTCAATAAGTATCAGCAGCCAAATGAGGCTGGGGGTGGTATGGAATGGGGTGGGCAGGGGCCACTGAGGGAGGTTGCAAGTGGAAAGGAATTGGGGTTTCACTCGGTGCACCTGTGATTGTGGCCCGAAGGTCCCAGGGAGAGGTGAGGCAGCTTGGTGGAGGGTGGTAGAGATGTGGGCACAACAGGCGGAAGCTGGGAAGTGCTACACAGGTGGAGTGGTGGGACCTGCTGTGGGCCTCAGTGTCAGAGGTGAGTTGAGAGATCGGAGAATGATGTCCAGTCTTGGCTTCAGTGGCTGGGCGGCCAGACCGGACCCCAGGACCTCCCCCACCTCGGACCTGTGTCAGCAGCTTGCAGCTTCTGTGCAGCTGGCTCCCTTTTCCCCCTCGCTCTGGGAATTTTCCTGCCTGCGTCAGTCACCGTTGTTGCTTTGTTGCTTCTCTGAGCCCTGTCCTCCCTCCTCTGTTCTCAGCAGCATGGCAGAACAGGATGTGGAAAACGAGCTTCTGGATTATGAGGAAGATGAAGAGCCTCAGGCACCTCCAGAGAGCGCTCCACCTCCCCCCAAGAAAGATGTGAAGGGTTCCTATGTTTCCATCCACAGCTCTGGCTTCCGGGACTTTCTGCTGAAGCCGGAGCTCCTGAGGGCCATAGTGGACTGTGGCTTTGAGCACCCATCAGAGGGTACGCATCCCTGGGTCCTCCCTCTCTCGGCTCTCCTCTCACTGCCTCGGCGCGGTCCACTCAGCCACCTGGTGAGGGGCCTGCACGGAGGGAACATCCATCCGGTTTCTGACAGCTCATGTGCTCTCTTCCCTCAGTCCAGCACGAGTGTATCCCACAAGCCATTCTGGGCATGGACATCCTGTGCCAGGCCAAGTCAGGGATGGGCAAGACAGCAGTTTTTGTGTTGGCCACTCTGCAGCAGATTGAGCCCGTCAACGGACAGGTGGGTGGACACCCTCCCTGCTAGGCGCTAGCTTCCTGATGCAGCAGGAATCATGGGTCCTCTTGTTAAAAATCCTGTTCCCGCATCCTCTTTGTGGACTTTTAAAATTAAGTTCGGTACTTAGTTCTACTGGAGCAGGAGATGGCAACCCATTCCCGTATTCTTGCTTGGAAAATCTCATGAACAGAGGAGCCTCACAGTCCATGTGAGTCCATGGCATCACAAAGAGTTGGACACAAGTGAGCAACTTAGCATACACTCAGTTAGTTACCAATATTGCCCCCAAATGGTAAGCCAAGAGGAAAAACTGAAAAGTGCCCAGTCTGACCACCCACAAGATGGCTGTAATTTCTACATGTGCTTTTCTAGATCGTGCACATATGTGAAGGTGGTCTTACACCGAACATGGTTTTGTTACTGCTTTTATTGCCAACACAATTGTCTTCTCATGCCTTGAATGTTGTTGTTCACTATTTTGAGGGGATAATTGAGGCACGTGCAGGTGTTCTGTTCTTGACATGCTGGGGCACACCCCCCTGGGTGTTACTGACCTTAGGGTGGGTGGTCTAGGAGGAAAGGGTTTCATGGGAAGCCGTGGTGTGGTTTCAGTCCTTGGCATTGTGGGCCAGGAAGGTGGGGTAGCCTTCCCCTGATGGTCATAGGCTAGCCAGGGGGCAGGCTTGGGAAGCAGTTAGCATGGAGTGTGTCACCAGCTAGGTGTCTCCCTGGCGTAGGGGGACACACCGGAGTAGCTATAAGGAGACGTAGGGAGGGCTTTCCCAGTGGCTCAGCGGGAAAGAATCCACCTGCCAGTGCAGAGATGCAGGTTCAGTCCCTGGGTCAGGAGGATCCCTTAGAGGAGGAAATGGCAACCATGGACAGAGGAGCCTGCTGGGCTACAGTCCATTGGGTCAAAGAGTCAGACGTGACTGAGGGACTAAACAAAAACAAACAGTAAGTCTTAAAACCTGCTAGGGAAGAAAGTAAGAAGATACAGGGAGTGAGCAGCAGCTGATAGACTGGGAGAAGATGGGGTCATGTGGACTGGACCTTCCAGTGGCCCAAAGGGGTGGGGGCCGCCAGGGACCAGCACTATTGTGGGCTCTGGCCAGGGGAGGACTTCGGACATTGCCTTGAGGGTCTCTGCCCCACCCTGCCCCACAGGTGACGGTCCTGGTGATGTGCCACACTCGAGAGCTGGCCTTCCAGATCAGTAAGGAGTACGAGCGGTTCTCCAAATACATGCCCAGTGTCAAGGTGAGTCCCCCAGGCCGGGTGGGGTGGGGTGTGGTGTGGTGTGGTCCTCTGTAGCCTTGCTGGCCTCAGCTCTGGCCCAGCTGGCATTAACCAAGCTTGGCTGCAGCGGCTGCCTTTAAGGTTTGTCGTGGTTTATGCTCCTTAAAAGCCTGATGAATTATGAATGGCCCCGAGAGGCCTGTGCCAGTCTCAGTCCTGGGGCTGCTTTTCAGTGGAGCTGGGGCCAGGCTCTGAGGCCTCTCCTGTCCCCAGGCACCAGGTCTGGGGTGGTGGTGGGGGCTTTGCAGGGTCGTGAACTGAGTGGCTATAGTCACAAGAGTTAGGTGTGAGCTTTTGGCCACCAGATGGTTGACAGCAGCTTTCCCCCGCATAGGTATCTGTGTTCTTTGGGGGCCTCTCCATCAAGAAGGATGAGGAAGTGTTGAAGAGGAACTGTCCCCATGTGGTGGTGGGCACGCCGGGCCGGATCCTGGCACTTGTGCGCAATAGGAGCCTCAACCTGAAGAACGTGAAGCACTTCGTGTTGGATGAGTGCGACAAGATGCTGGAGCAGCTGGGTGAGTGTGCCGGGTCTGCGGGCTGTGGAGGCCCCCCGCATCATCCCCCGGACTTCAGAGTCAGGCCCTGACAGGGCAGGCCAGAGGGTTCCCCAGAGTGGGGTCGTGTGGGTGGCCGGCAGTCAGGTCTCCTGGAAGCAGATTTGCGGCAAGTCCTGGCATTTGGCAGAGTGAACTGCAGCTTCTGAGCTGGATCTTGGAGTGGGACCACATGGCCCAAGATGAGCCGTGTCTGGGCACATGTCCATGTTAGCCGAGGACCGTGGCCCTGCCACCAGCTGGTTTAGCTCTAGGCCCCCGCCTGCGCTCAGGGAGCCCTGACGGCTAGTGGGAGCTGGGGCTTATGCCTGGGAGGCGGCTGCAGCTCTCACTCCAGCAGCTGTCTCTGCCTCAGGCTCCCCACCGTGAAGCGTGGCTGGAGGCGCGCTGGCACGGCTGCTCCGCTCTGGCAGCGTGTAAGTGGATTGCCGCTCCTCCCGCGCCTCTGCTTATTACCCTGAGTCCGGGCCTCAGGCACCTGGGACTCCCCCCTCTGGCAGTCTGCGCTCACACCCCCCTTGTCATGGGGCCAGCAGCTCCCTGGCACAGGTTGGGAGGGACTGGATCCTGGTGGGGGTCGTGGTCTGGCAGGCGCTCACGCCCCATTTCTTGCTCTCCCTTCCTTGCCAGATATGCGACGGGACGTGCAGGAAATCTTCCGCCTGACCCCCCATGAGAAGCAGTGCATGATGTTCAGCGCCACCTTGAGCAAGGAGATCCGGCCTGTGTGCAGGAAGTTCATGCAAGATGTGAGTAATGGCGGAGAGCTCTGTGCGGTAGCTTCAGCCTCCGAGGGTGCAGGCTCTTGCCGCTCCCCAACATCCACGCTGCCCTCATGGCACAAGCATGCTGGAAGGCCGGCGGAGCCTCTTCCACTCTTGTCAAACTGGGAGCTGAGAGCTTGGTCTACACCTGAACCGGGCCGGACCTTAGATCCAGCTGTTGGGAGACAAGTATTAACGGGGGTACAGAGGCCTCTTGGAGTATTGCCGCCACGGAGTCGCTTTTGGAAGGTTCTGGGCAGGCAGAACCCAGCAGTAAGCCCCGCCTGGCTCTTCCTGCTCTCCTCCCCGCACAGCCCATGGAGGTGTTCGTGGACGACGAGACCAAGCTCACGCTGCACGGGCTACAGCAGTACTACGTGAAACTCAAGGACAGTGAGAAGAACCGCAAGCTCTTCGACCTCCTGGATGTGTTGGAGTTTAACCAGGTGATGCTTCTGCACGCCCGTGGCCTGTGCTGGGGTTCCCGGCCTGGGGGAGGGAGTCTGGCCCTGACTCGGGTCTCTGTCTCCCTCCATCACAGGTGGTCATCTTTGTGAAGTCAGTGCAGCGCTGCATGGCCTTGGCCCAGCTCCTGGTGGAACAGAACTTCCCAGCCATTGCCATCCACAGGGGCATGGCCCAGGAGGAGCGGTGAGTGCGTGCAGGCCGCCCTCAGCCCCTGGCAGGCCCGGTGGAGCAGATGCCACCCAGGGCCCCCGTATCTGATGGCCGCCTCTTGTTCCTCTTGCATCCAGTCTGTCACGCTATCAGCAGTTCAAGGACTTCCAGCGGCGGATCCTGGTGGCCACCAACCTGTTCGGCCGAGGGATGGACATTGAGCGCGTCAACATTGTCTTCAATTACGACATGCCTGAAGACTCAGACACCTACCTCCACCGTGTGAGTGGCCCAGGGGGGTGTCCCTTCCCTCCTGCCCCTTTTTCAGGGTTGGTGTTGGATGGGGACATCTGTCTGTCTGTCCTCAGCCTGACCCTTGCTCCTATCTCCCTCCAGGTGGCCCGTGCGGGTCGCTTCGGTACCAAAGGGCTGGCCGTTACTTTCGTGTCTGACGAGAGCGATGCCAAAATCCTCAATGATGTCCAGGACCGGTTTGAAGTGAACGTGGCAGAGCTTCCAGAAGAAATTGACATCTCCACATACAGTAAGTGATTCAGACAGGGCTGGGGTGCTGGGGGGAGGTGGGGGACAGTGGTGGGGCCTTCTCTCCCCACTGCCCCCTCCTCACTGGCCTCCCCCATCCCCCGTGTGTCTTACAGTTGAGCAGAGCCGGTAACCACATGCCCTGATGACCCAGAGCCACTCTACTTCCCACGTGCTGCTTCAAGTCCTCTTTCTAGGTGACACTGGGCCTTTCATTTTACTGTTTAAAAGCTGTAGATTTGTGCAAGAATTTAAGTTTTTATTATGAAAGTCTGGCTCCCACAGTGTCTGTCTGTGTCACCTCACTGCATTTCGTGGACACCAGGGGCCCATGGCCTGGTCTGAGCCTCTGGCCAGCAAGACATGTCACCCTCTGTGTCAACATGAGATTTAATTTTTAAAGTGTCAACACTGAAAGGTTTATACAGATAAAAACATACAATGTCCACAGCCTTCACATCAGTTTGAACCCTCTGCCCTGGGGGCAGGAGGGCCTTACTTAGTACCATGAGCCTTCTTCGGCAAGGGGCTGAGAAGGGCCCTGCCCCTCCCCCACCCAACCTCAGTCTTAGCTTAACCTAGAAGCAAAGTCTCAGCACCTTGGCCTCTTGTTCTGTAGCAAAGACAGATGACAGGAAAGGGCCAAGCTGGGCACGAGTCTTCATTCTGTCTGGGCCTGGTGTACTTGAGGGGGCTGCCCCTACCCTGGGTCCTGACCCGGGTGGAGCTGAGAGGCAGCAGGAAGTAGGTCCGACCCTCCACCCTTGCTGGGTGTTCAGGGGTTCGGTACCAGATGGTGGCTGACACCCTCCTCTCCATGGTTTGTGTGGGGCTCAAGGCAGGAGGGAGCAGAGCAGAGAGGGAGGAGAGGAGGTCATCTGTGTGTGCAAAAGCTGCTGAGGCCACAGGAGCTGCTGGTTCGGCCAGAACTGCGCCTTCACATGCCAGACTCTGAGGGCCTGAGGGCCTGGAGGGAAAGGAGCGCAACCTGAGAACTGAGACCAGAGACCCGGGGGGCCTTCTGTCCTGCACCCCCCACCCCAGGCTCAGCCCTTACCTGAGTCTGATTGTGGCCAGAGCCAGACCCAGAGGTGGTTGTGGCGAACTCCGAGTACCTGTTCCCAGCAACCATGCAGGCCCACTTGCGGTACTCCTCTCTCACCTGTGGGGCACAGGGGCCAGGTCAGGGGAGGACGGGCCCCAGGACAGGAGGATGGGCCCAGCACCCCCCCCCCTCCCCGCCCCAGCAGCCTGGCCTGCGGCCCACCTTCTTGTTAAGTAGGCAGTACAGCACGAAGAGGAAGAAACCCTGCAGGCAGTTGAGGATGCTGAAGATGTAGGACAGCACCCAGCTCTCCGGGTCGAAGAGGAGCAGGCCGAAGACCCAGGTGCAGCCCAACACGAAGAGCTGGGCGATGGCTGTGATAGTCAGCACCCTGCGGGGAGGCGGCCAGTTGCAGCTGGGGGTCCCTCCTCAAACACCCACCCCTTCTGTCAGCCCCCCTCCCTGCCTCTGTCTTCTCACCTGACTTTCTTTAATTTCTTTATGTCAGGGTTGATTTCAGAAAACTTCTGAGTGAGTTTCCAGACAGTAATCACAAAGATGATAGCATTGCCCTGGGGAGGGAGCACAGAATTCAGATTAGGGGGTATCCTTGGAACTCGCAGGGAGAAAGCTGGTACAGGGGCTCCGTGTGGAGCCGAGTGCTTCAGATTTCCACGGGTGTAGGGTGGGGGGAGGTGAGACAGTTACCAAAACGATGAAGGTCACAGGTCCCACAAAGCTCCAGAGGAAGCCACCCTCGAAATTCAACCAGCAGCTGGGCAAGAAGGGAGGGTCTGGTCAGCACCCAGTCAGCCCAGAGTGGAGCAAGGGCTCCGTGCAACCTCCAAGCCCTGGCCCACCACCTCGCGCTCACAATTTCTTGCGGCCATAGCCCTTGCTGTAGGCGCCTGCCGAGATGCCCACGATGATCAGGGGCACGCCGTAACCAATCAGGCAGAGCCAGAGCTTTCTCAGGCCTTGGCCCTGGAACACGCGCACCACGAGGAAGTAGAGCTCCACGCCCTCGAGGCTCATCCAGCAGAAGGCGGCCAGGAAGCAGTAGTGCAGCAGCACTGCCACCAGGCGGCAGCGCGTCCCCACCTGCGGGGCGAGGGCGGAGGGACGGCGGTGACGTCAGTGGTGGGCGGGACCGGGGCTGGACGCAGAAGCAGTGAGTGGGCGGGACCGTACGCTTCCGCTGGCGGGAGGCCGACCACCCTACCCGGCTGGCAGTAGGCGGAGCTATTCCACTCCAGGCCCTGGCAGGTCTAGCGCCCAGGTGAGAGTGGGGCGCGCCACGGGGCGGGGCCTCACCTCGCCGCCTTCGTTCTCGATGCCTGCCAGGAAGATGGCGGAGCCCACGAAGAGGCAGATGCAGAGGTGCAGGTGCACCGTGGTGCGCGAGCCCTGGATGGGCCGCACCAGCAGAAAGGTGAGGATGCACAGCAGCAGGCAGACCAGCGACAGCGCCAGTCCCACCTTGGTGATCAGGGCCAGCTTCGGGTCCTAGATGCAGGACGGGGCGGGCGGGGCTCCATCAGCACCCTGAGGCCTTCCTGCCCTCCTTGTGGGCCCCACCACCCACACCCACCTGGGACCTGGCCTGCAGGACTGATCAGGTGGCTCAGCTCCCTCCACCTCTACCATCAACATCTGAATCAACCTACTATGTCTCACCCTAAATACCACCACCCCTACACCCATGGGTGCAGCAGGTATCCCCAGTTCCTCTGGATGAGTTCCCCACTACATACCCAGACTGTTCTCCTTAGAAGGTCCCCCGTGTATCCTCAACGGCTGCAACCTTCTTTCCCTACACTGATGAGCCCACCTCTCTGACCCTGGTCTCCATCTCATCTCTTGCCCCTCCCACACCTGGCCGCAACTATGAACTCATCAAAACCCACATTTGTGTCCTTCCTGGGCCTTGGGCCTGGACAGCCAGCCTCCCCTACTCTGCCTGACCACCCAGGTATTCACATGGCCCAGTGTATCTGTGGACCCCTCAGGAGCTTTCAGCGGTATATAACAACTTGATGGGGCTTCCCTGGTGGCTCTGGTAAAGAATCCACCTGCCAATCCACCAGGAAATGCTGATTTGATCTCTAGGTCAGGAAGATCCCCTTGAAGAGGAAATGGCAACCCACTCTAGTATTCTTGCCAGGAGAATCTCATGGATAGAGAAGCCTGGCGTTCTACAGTCTGTGGGGCCATGAAAGAGTTGGACATGACTTAATGACTAACAACTTGTTGGGGGTGGGCCATCAGAGGAGCACTGGCTGAAGCAAGGCCACTCTGTTTAGTTGCTGAGTCACATGGAGGTCTAGGGGTGCCAAGCAAGGGGCTGTGAGGTGCGGTGTAGGGTCATCTGGTCTGTGCAACCATGCGGAACTTCTTGGACCATTCCATTGAGAACCAGCTGCCTGTCTCGCCTAAGCCAACCATGCCACCAGTGGGTTTTTGAGAATGGCCCCCAGTCTGCTCACCTCCACGTCGTAGTGGGCCATGAGGATGGCAAAGCTGCTTAGGTGACTGCACTGGCAGGTGATGCTTCCGTTCCCACTGCCCATCTTCCAGCAGCCCGAGGTGGCCCAGAACCCGTTCCCATTGCTGTCTTTCTTCCAGAAGGCACAGATCAGCTCCTGCCGTGGCTTGAGCTCAGGCTGTTTCTAGGGAGAGGCGGTCATAGAAGTTAGCCTGGAACCTTCTTGTGGGTACTGGGCTTGGGTGGACCCCAAAGAGGGCTGCTTCTCCTTTGACAGTTGTCTACTGAGCACCGACTATGTGTGCCAGGCCAGGGGACCCGGGTGAACTGGGGAGACACAAGTCCCTGTCCTTCTGGGCTGACATTCTAGTGGGGAGACAGACAGGAAATAATACACCTAATAAATAAGTAAACTAGACAGTGTGCTAGCAGGTGCTGAATGTGAAAGAAAAGAGCAAAGGGGAAAGGTGGGGTGTGATTACAGATTGTAATTTAAATAAGCAGGTCCAGGAAGGCCTAGAAGAGTAGGTGACATGTGAACAAGTTGACAGGTAAAGGACTGAATTGTGGAGGAAAGGTGTCCCAGGCAGAGGGCACAGTAAGTGTAAAGGCCCCGAGGCACGTGTAAGGAAGGAGCACGTGGGTGGGGGTGGGGGAAGGAAGGCTGCTGAGGGCCCACGGGCACCTTGGCTATGGGATGAGCAGTGTGGCTGATTCCCCTACCCAGCCCAGGACTCACATGGAGGGTGAAGGCAAAGGAGACGTTGGAGTCGAGTTTCTCAGTGTCCGTGTTGCTCAGAAAGACGGAGCTGACCGCTGAGAGAAGCGTGACCTTGGCACCTCGGACAGGACTTTCGTAGGTCTCTTTCAGCTTTTCCAAGTCCAGTTCCAAAGAGGCATTGGCCAGCAATTTTTCCATGTTCCGACTGGAGAGGATCCCCACCATGGAGGGGCCTGGGGGACAGACATGCTGGCTACCTCCTGCTCTGCTTGCTTCTGTGCCCCATCCTTCCTCTTAAGATGTCTAATTCAAGCTCGCCTGTCTGCCGTGATGCCCAGAGTCCCGCCCCAAGGCTCGGCTTCCTGTGCCTGCCTATTCTGAAGCTGTGTTGCTGTTGTTCAGTCCTGCAGTCCTGTCCAACTCTTTGCGACCCCATAGACTGCAGCATGCCAGGCTTCCCTGTCCTTCACCATCTCCCGGAGCTTGCTCAAACTCACGTCCATTGAGTCAAGGATGCCATCCAACCATCTCATTCTCTGTTGCCCCCTTTTCCTCTTTCCCTCAATCTTTCCCATATCCTAGCCATATCCCAGCTTCTTCCTCCCTTTCCCTGGAGTGCCCGCTCCGGATGCCTGCCATTACCCGACTCCCCAGCTGCGGCTGCCACAGCCCAGTCCAGCAGCATCCGTGCGTGGCTCTGGCCCACGGTGACGTTCCCTTTCCCCTGCTCCTGGACCACCAGGGATAGCTCTGAGGAGAGAGGAGGCAGTGATCAGGGGCTCCAGGTGTGGGAGCGGGTCCTGGGGAGCTGGGGTGGGGCAGGACGAGGTCTCACCTGTGCCGTCAAGCGAACGGTAGGTGAAGGAGCCTTTAGATATGGCTTTGGCCAGGGTCCTCAGGATTTGTTCGAGGCCTGAGAGCAGGTGGGTGACTATGACGTGCTTGGAAGACTGATCCAGTGACTCCAGGTCTCCTGAGCTTTTCAACAGGTCATCCACTGACTCGACGAGGTTCTGTGG